TCAATGCTTATATAAAATATGCACCATCCCTTGGAAGGTTTCCTCTTTTATTGACTTTCAACGTGGCGTCATGGTCAATTTAATTTTGCTTTATGGACAAGAATTTACCAAAAAAAAGACTCTTTCATGTCAAAGTGAAAACAGATTAATGCAAAGTAATGTCAATTAATACAAAAAATAATCTAAAATGTAGACGTCAGTATTTACCAGTCTAGGGTGGTGGGGGGCTGGAGTCTATCCCAGCTGACTCAGGGTGAAGGCAGGTTCACCTGGACAGGTAACCAGTCTATCACAGGGCTACACTTAGAGACAGACAACCACTCACATTCACACCTATGGACAATTTAGAATCACCAATTAACCTCAACATGTTTTTGGACTTGTGGGAGGAAGCCGGAGAATCCGGAGAGAACCCACGCTGCACGGGGAGAACATGGAGACTCCACGCAGAAAGATCCCGAGTGTCCTCACCAGGATGCGAACTGGGGACCTTCTTGCCGTGAGGCAACGGTGCTAACCACCGAGCCACCTTGCAGCCCTGTGATGCTTCCCTCTACCTCTAATGACTACCACAGGCTGTTGCTATCCAATATTCACTTTCCATAACCTCGTCACGCAACTAAATTTGGTTCTAGCCTATAATAGGGGGACATTTTCAGCAAAATGACTAAATTAATGTAGAAAGTTTGTATGTGATGATTGTTTGAGCCTCAGGCCAGATCATCAGACTTCGTTCTCTTGCTGACAAAGAGGTGTGTCCATACCTGTACAATCACCTGTTGGATTGTTGCTCTCGCTGTAGTTTCTGTGGTTGAAATGATCACACAGCATCAGGAACTCATGGACTCCTGGTTCTGCACTCGGATTCCTCAGATAAAAAAGCAGATTGGTTAAAAATGGACATTAACGTGCTTTGCAGAAAAAACAAAACGCATAACACATATCGTCATCTACAAATAGGTGAAGAGCAGTTTAATCAAATATCAGGGTTATGCTTTCTGGTTATTTGACATTTATTAATTTCATAGTTATGTTTTGACTGGTTTTGTGCAAAAACATGTGGCGCAGTCAGACGAGCTTGTACTCAGTGTTACTGGAGGACTAATGCAAATAAAAAATAGGGCAAAAGAAAGGTATGAGGATGTTTTACTATTTACCTGTTGGTAATTTCTAAGGACAGTTTTGGTTCATTAAACAGAATCGCAACAACCACGTGACTCATGCAATTCCCCACTGAACTACCAAGCTGCGTTTTTAAAAAATACATATTTTAAGGACAACTTTACTTCCTTTTGTCAACATCCCATTAAAACAGCAAACTAATCCTCTTTGCTGCTGCTGTCTGCATGGCTAAAATCTGGTATAATCTGCACCGCTGAGTTCTATTTTATGAAAAATTTATGAAAAACATGAATAAACCACGTGTGACACGTCCTTTGTTACAATGAACATGTGCACAGTAGTTTAGTCCACATATTAAGTCGGAGTGCTCTAAAAAAAAAAAAAAGAAGAAAAGTCCTGAACAAATGCAGTAATTACTCCTGCTTGAGTAACGTTTGCTAAAAAGTCCAGTTCCCAGCTGGTTTAGTAAATTATTTAGTCTTTTTAAAATTTAACTATCTATATTCTTTATATCTTCGGTAGGAACCTGTCGTCTTGGGGATGAGAGTCACAGACAGGGCAGGGAAGTTGGAAGGGGTTTGCATCACAATACAGCACATATCCAGATGATCCTTTCATTTTATTCTCACCATAACTAGTCATACAGTGTGTGCTACGTATGCAGCCGGGCTTTTTCGCTAAACAAGATTTTTTTTTTTTTTTAATCTGATCTACAAGCTCTTCAGACACGACAGCCCCCTGCAGCCTCCGAGGAGCTCTCTCTTCCCTCCTCCACTCTTTTTATTTAACTGTGCGCCACTGAGCTCTGAGCAAAACACGGCTAATATTCCTAGCTCCGTCTTCCAAATGAGCACGAATGAAGTGAGTAGGAGCGAAATGAAAAAGAACGACAGGGAGGGAGGGTGGTTTGCAGAGGGAATGAGCAAAGAGCTGAGGGAGAAAAAAAAAAAAAAGAAAGAGAGAGAAGAGAGGAGGGAGGAAGGAAGAGGAGGAGGAGGAGTGTGAGGGTTGACCAGAGGGGGAAGAGATGGTGGAGAAGGACAGTTGAATATTCATTATCAGGCCACTGGGGAGGAATCTAAAGCCCTGTTGCTGCTGCTGTGTGTGGGATTTGCCGTCGACACTCGCACCCAGAAACACATCTTGCAGATCCACACACACACACTGATTAAGTCACAAAGCTAAAGGCTGGGGTCAAGGAGTGAGCTGCTGCTGCTGCTGCACGCTAACTGCTGGAGCTGCTCACTGCGGTACGAGCTGCTGAAGAGCAACAGCACCGACTGCGATCTGCTCCTATCGAGCTACATCACCGCACAGCTGCAGCCTCACCAGCAGGCAGATACATCACACTGAATCAGGCAGCGGGAGTCTAAGCTACGACTTCCCAGAGTCCTGAGGAGTTATGTCCATGCTGGATGATTCTGCACCTCACAAGTCAGGTCCGTTGCCAAATGCCCTTTATGTGGTGAGACGGAGGTGACGGATGGATGTGAAGTGTATTGGAGTTCATGTAGGAAGCCAGAGTTCAATTAATACTCACTTTTCTAACATTAAAACAGTATTTTAGCAATTAAACTTTGCACTCAAATTGTACAACATGCTCAAAAAGAATGAAAATCAATGCAGCAGAAGCATAAGAACTTCACAGATGTGGCACAACAAGCATCCAATCGGATACCTGTGAAAAATATGCTTTAGAATAAGACCCGCCATAAAGACAGATTATTTTCAGCCTCCTATGTAGAAAGAACAGTGATTCAGTACTAATTATAGGGAAAAAAGAAATTCCTGTTAAACACAGGTTTCAATTAAGCTTCAGTTTGTGACTTCTTCATCCTTTATTACTCCCCATACGTGCTGATTGGTTCTGCTGAGCCCAGACTACGATAATCTTTAGATCACACCGGCAGTTAATTTGAAAATAACCACCTAGAAGTGCAGCAATTTCACGTACATTTTATCTTCTTATGAGAAAATTCTTAAAAACAACAGGAAATAGTCCAGACAGGGCAATTCTGTAAAACAAGGCGGCCTTTTCCTGAGCGTCCGACAGGTTCGGTCTCATGTGTCATAATGATTCACTAACGTTGATTTTTTTGTTCATTTGTTATTTTATTTTGATTATTTGAATCCATTTCATAGCATTTTATAACACAGTAAATGAGCTTCATCTATAAGTCCAGAAGACATCAGCTGCTCTCGGTTTGGCACTGCTGCAGGGACTGGACATCGTGTTGTGGTCAGAGGTCTTTCAAAGGCAAAGGAATGCACTACGAGCAGAAGTGAATCTACGTAACCCCGAAGAACAAAAGGACAAGGTGACATTTGACAAAAACAACCCCCGTGGGTGCCTTTGTGTCATCCTTAAAGGGTCCTCTCGGATGATTAAGAGATGAGACATGGAGAGGTCACCGCGGGCCTCACTTCCACATGCACGCACTCCATCTCCATCGGTATTAATCAAACTGTTCACGAATACGTGCGTACATGCACAGCGACGCGCACGGTGCTCCCGACGCAGTCCGGCGACGTCCTGCAGTGTCCCTGCTGCAGTTTGGCCGCAGGACAGTGAATGAGTCAGCTCAGCCCTGTCTGCTTTGTCCATCAGGCTGCCTGTTTATCTGCCGACCTTCACCGTTTGATTGAAGGTCTCTCTTGTCTATCTGACCTGTGTGCATTTTCTACTGCTTTGTATTTTTGTTTGTCTCCGTTTCTCCCTCCAGCGTCAGTATGCTCCAAATGAAGCCCTTGTCAAATTATTTAACAGTGTCTGGGACCTCACACGACCTCAAATTTCTGATGTTCGTCGGCTAAATTTTGAAAACTGACAATGCAAAAAGCATGACAGCTACATGTAGTGAATGACAACTTGTTTGGAGGTGAGAAAATAGACGATATATATAAAAGATGAACATAGCCAACAGGACTTTTCTCTTTAGTTTGTGGATTGTGGTTTTGAAGCCTTGAGTTTGAAACCGGACGTGATGAATGTCACTCACAAGGTAACCAGTGCTGCTTAATTTTACTCTAAGTGGGACTATAATTTACAAAACTAACATCTCGCTATATTGAAGGAGAGTTGAAACCAGGGATTGAGACCATAAAATCATTAGGAAACAGTTTACCAAGGAAACAAATCAAATTAGAAGAAGGATCATTTCTCAGACTTCAAACTTGTCTTTGGAACCAGAAGAGTGCCCCCCTGCTGGCCATTAGAAGGACTGCAGGTTTAAAGACATCCTGTAGTGACAATCCATTTTCTTTACCATGTTAAGATATGATGTTTTTCATATGCTGGTAGACACATCATTAACAAAACAAACAGTCAACACCGTGGCTGAACATTTCCACCTTCAAATTGCAGTCTACTGATGACAATCTCAAAAACACAGATTCAGACTTCCAGGGTTCCATACACAACAAACTTAAAGAACCAATCATGTCAGCTTGCAGAGTGGTACTTTCTGTGTCATTATTATTCAGAATATAGTCTTAGTTGAGCCGGTGTGCTTGAGCTGCAGCGAGTAGCAGAGAGGTGGGTGGAGAGACAGGCAGAGAATTCATAGAGTTGGACATTCTAAAGGATTTTAAACACTCCTGGATGAGTAACTTTACACAGGGTTTAAAGTATGTGACTTCACTTTTTAGACCCAAGGCCACATCTATATTTTATATACAGTCCATGGGTGTAAACTACTCTGTCAAGCTCTGTTTTTTTGTTATTCACACAACTATTTCTATATTTTTTAACATGAGTAACACCTTGAACACTATTTCCTATATATGCACAGCTCTGTTTCCGAGCATGTTTTTGGCCTGGCTTTGTGTGTGTGGTCGTTCAAAAGAGCTTTTAAAATTAATACAACAGTTGCAAGCTCATTTGAAACACACTGAAGCCCTCAGTCTACTCATTGCTGCTCGAGGAGACATTTAGAATAAGGTGTTTCTCTGCAGGCGTGACCCCACCTTCTTGAAGAGGGCTTTTAATTTACACAACTTGCAGTGCTTAATCTTCATCATCCTTTCTCTCCTGCCATCATCCTCTCCACTGTCGCCCTCCTGCCCCTCCAGGCCCAGCCAGGGGCCCCACACCCCTCCGTGGAGCTCTGGGTCAGCCATAGGATCATCCGGTGGATTCCTGGTCATCACAGCTGTCTGGTTGTACTCCGCCAGCCTTTTCAGCAGATGTTTCACCACCTCTGGACGAGCCTCTGCCAGGTCGTACCTCTCGTAAGGGTCGGAGCTGATGTTAAACAGCCACACCGACTTTCCCAGCTCGTTGCGCCGCTTCTCCAATTTCTGCCACCGTTCTCGACCGACGGGAAGAGCCTTCGGTGGGATCCAGTCCCCGTCACCCACGTTTCCTGTCAGCAGCTTCCAGTCACCGGCCCTTAATGCTGCTCTAACAGCTGTGTCCCAGATCCCAAAGCCGTTGAGCACCAACGCCTTGTCATAAGGCTCCCCGGGTTTCCTGGACCCTGGGTCAATGTTGAAAAGGATTTCAGTGCGAGGACAAGGCGAGTCCTCGCTGATGCTCCGCCACACATCGTGACCATCAAGGCCACGGTTGGACTGCAGGGCCCCGGCCAGCCCCAGTAATGTGGGAAACCAGTCAGAGACGTGGATCAGCGCTCGGCTTACTTCGCCCTTCCTCTTCAGAAGAGGACTATGGACAAAGCCCACGGCCCTGATGCCCCCTTCCCAATAGGTCCCTTTGCCACCTCTGAGCGGCCAGTTGCTCCCACCAGAGAGCGGCTGCCCTCCGTTATCAGATGAGTAGATCAGCACTGAGTTTTCATAGAGGCCACTAGTCTTCAGTTCTTGGACTACTTCTGCAACGCCTTCGTCCAAGCAGCTGAGCATGGCTGCATAGTGGCGCCTGATACGATTGGTCTGAGAATCATAGTGGTGCAGAAAATGTTCTGGTACCTGTAAGGGTGTATGGGCGGCCTGAAGGGACAGATAGAGGAAAAGTGGAGTATGGGGGTCGTGGCTCTTCAGGATCTGCTTCACTCTGGTTGGAAAAGATGGAAAGTTTTAAAGGTATTTAAGCTTTGTCTCTCTGTATTTGTTCATTTATTAATACTTTAGTGCTTACCTCTCGATGTAGAGCAGAGTGGAGTAGTTCCCGGTCATCTCCCAGGCGGGTCGGTCTCCGTCATGCAGGTCAAACCCACAAGCTTCAGCCCCGTCGCAGCTCTGATAGGAGAAATGGTCTCCACTGCCGGTCAGTGTGCCCAGAAAACTCTGAAAGCCACGTCCGGTGGGCAGGCAGCTCGGCCTGCAGAAACCCAGGTGCCATTTACCCACCATGTGTGTGGCGTATCCAGCTTCAGCCAGACGCTCTGGGAGGGTGGGGAAGTCTGGGGGCAGGCAGAGGGGCTGACGGGGTCGGATGATTGAATGCTGCAGTCCAGTGTGAATTTGGTAGCTGGCAACATACCGAGAATGTGAGAGAAGATGTCATCATACATATCTGGCATCATGATAATTAAAAATTTCACGTATAATGTTGCATGTCATTAGAAACGCTCACATTGTTGGACACCATGAAGCCAAGGTTTTCATTGATTTTAAAGAATTATTTCTACCCAGTTTGTGGTAACCTGCACAATTTCTGCACTGAAATATCATTGTTGGGTCAGAATACGATCAAACATACACTGATTTGACAATATTTTTGCTATTTATTTTAAAGTTTTGTTGCTATTTAGCCTTTAGACAAGACCGATATTCAATAAAATAGATAATTTCTGCTTTTGTAGTCAACATCATGATGAATCAAATTGTACTTGTAAAAAAATGAGCCTTCTAAAACGGCATTTTTCAGAAAAATAATGTCTTTTTCTGGCATTGTATATTGAGTCCCATAAATATGCAAGACAAAAAGACTATTGATGATATGCTTACCCACATCAGATGAGAACAGATGTTGCAACTGAATAATAATGCGATTTGAATGGTGGTGTAATGAGGAAACTCACCGGCCTGTCATGAGCTGACTGCGTGAGGGTGAGCAGATAGGCTGGACGTAATAATTTTCAAGTTTGACCCCCTCTGCTGCCAGCTGGTCCAACGCAGGAGTGTGGATGTCTGAGCCGTGGTAGCCAATGTCTCCATAGCCCTGGTCGTCCACCATGATGAAGATAAGGTGAGGCGGCCTCTGAGTTCCAACCCCCTCTTTGCCCACGTTGTGTTCACTCAGGCAGCCAGAGTCACTGAGCAAGGTCACACCAATCACCAGGAAAAACAAAGAGCAGATTCCTCCCCTCAGCTCCATCAGTGCTCTGTAGCTAATATCTACTAAAGTCTGATTGCGTCTGTATTTTCTCTTCTGCTTAGTCTGCAGTCAATATATCTCATCCCTGATCACGTTTGCAGGAAAATGGGCAAATCTGCTGGTCCAAGGAGCTCTTCCAAAAGTCTTATCTGTCCATTAAGTAGAAGTTCTTGTCCTTTTCTGGGGGCTTTTCTTGGTTTTGTGAGTTAGGGCTGAGCTGGTGCCAGCTGCTGTTGTGGGTGGAGAAAAACTGCTGTCTCTAAGAGGGGCAAGAAGTTGGCAGAGGTGAGTGTTTGAGAAAGAGAGAGATGGGGATCTTCCCCTTTTGCAGTACCTTGCAACATTCCTCTTGACTTTCAGGCGCCTCATAAGATGGCTGGGAATCTGAAATAGTAGGACTCGGCATATATGCTGAGCAGACAGTGCAGAAATTGTAATCTTCTGGTTAAAGACCTGCTCAATTCTTTTGCAAATCATGGAAGGAACATGTATGTGTGACAAAAATGCAAAACATAAAGGAGCAAAATACAAAGTCTGTCTGTCATCGCTGCAAACATCAAAAGAAAATTTGCCAAATAAAACAACGAGGCCTTGAAATAAAATAATGGTGACGCAAAACTGGTTTGAAAAATGTCTTGCAGTAAAGAACAATCACTAATAAGACGAGGCCTTAAAGGAAGAGTACAACATTTTGGCTCACTTACTTTCTTACTAAGAGTGTGAAGACATATCACTCTAATATTTCCCATATATAAGGCTGCATAAATGTAAATATAAAAGCTAGGAGATGGTTAACTTGCCCTATAGCACACAGGCTGGACATATATATACTACTACTCTTGGAGGTATCCGACCACAGGTTGCTTTTCATATTATAGCAAGTCTGTGAAAAAAAAGCCCATATTTGCGACTCTGGGAAAAGATTTTTTGCTATTTAGTTGGTTAGCATATTTAATCATAACTACAGTTTCAAAAGATTTAAAGAGCTCTTAAAATCCGTCTGTATAGATTCAAATCTGTATATTTTAAAATGTCCTTTGTAATTTTTTATTGTTGTCCATTTTTAATATTCCCTTGCTTTTTCTAACGTTTTTTTTTTTTTGTTTGTTTGTTTTTTAATAAAGCCCCTTGTAACTCCAGTTTTGAAAGGCGCTATGTAAATGCAGTTTAGTAATATTATTAGATAGCACAAGCACGAACGATCACAAGCTCAAATGTGCACAGGACGTTTTGTTGGTTTCTATTTACAGAGCCAGGACTGTGTACATTTTCTTTTTTTCAGTGCAAACACACACAAAATGAGCAGTTTACAGACCAAGAGAGCATCGTCACTGAATTCAAAAAAAGAGAGGGCTGCATTACCATGCCTGACTCTCCCTTTAATTTCAAACCAAAATAGAAACAAGCGTGTTTTCTTGTCAGCAATTTAGTTCAACAGAATTCACTAAGAAAGCAAAGCAACAGGAGATGTGCAAAATGGACAGAGACGGAAAGAAACACAGCAGATGCTCAGCAAGCCAACACATCAGTCAAATAATCAGAACTGAAAAAAACCGACCACATTGCTCTTAAATTCCCTGTCACCACAGCAGGAGAAAGTCTTTCCATAACTACTTTCATACCAGAAATGTGGCTATTTCAATCATATTTAGTGTGACTCATCTCATTTGCTTCATAATGGTGGCATATCATTAAACACTACTCTGGATTATCCACAGGCCTCGCTATAAACTGTTTATGTCTTCAATAAACAGTACTATTCTATTTACTGCCAGCGTATTGTGGTGGCACAAGAAACTTGTCAAAACATGAAGAAGTTTTAAAAAAGGCTAGAAACCACCAGATGTAAGTCAGAAAATCTCTCTTTTGTTCCTGAACATTTAAAGCTAATCCATACAGTCACTACCAACAATACCACAATTACTGTCACTGGTAATGTTATTACTTCTTCCCTCCTCCGCCACTCCTATTAAAGTGTGACAGCTACTACTTTGCCTGTTGTTTCCTGTACAACAAGTTAAAGGTTTACCATAAATCCCTAACAAAAATCAAATCAACCCTGTCAATTTTCTTTCATTGCTTTATACTGCTCAATTAATAGAGTCACCCGAGGACAATTACCGCTCATGTCGGGGCATCGAAACCTATCCGACTACGCAGAAACATCCGGCATTGTGATGAGAATGTGTATCGACCGCGGGGCTCTTAGCCCTCACCTCGCTGCCATCTCCTTCCCATAATACTGAGAGGATAATCAATGCCTCCGATACGAGTCCATTTCCTACTTTGTAGAAGCAAACTCGTGTTGCCTCATCCTGTGGGAAATTTCACAGGCTTTTTACCCACGGTGAGAGTGAGGCGTACGCTGGAGGGATTGGGCGAGAAGATGCTGAGGTAAGAAAGAGCCTGGTGAAGATTAAAGAACTGGTGGGAAATGTGACCTTATAACAATGAGAATAAAGCATAAGAAAAGAGGTAAAGGCATCAAGAGGGGTGTTTGTAAGGAGGGCAAAAAAGCAATAAGGGACAAGGAAGCTTTCCTTGTCTAAGAAGAGAGAGAGTACAACATAAACAAAGTGGCATAAAAGGAGCAGTCACTTTGTCTTGCTCTGTGTGTACGTCGGGGTCTCTGGGTGTAGCCATCAGTTTGCCTCAGGGAAATGCAGGACGACATGAACTCCGTTTTACCGCTAAGAGGGGGGAGGACGGGGAGGAGGGCTGTAAAAATGGAAAGTGACAAATGTCTTCTTGAGGAGCAGAGAGAGCAAAGGATTGCGCTCTCGCTTTAACTGTTTGAAGGGACGCAAAGCGATGGCGACAGCAAAAACCCACGTTGTAGATTCTTTAGGATGTGCTGTACGGTCTGCAGAGGTGCACTGGAAAGGCAACGGTGGTGAAAACTTCATGCTAAAAATAGAACAAACATTAAAAAGTAATCTAAAGAGGGCTCAATTTGTAAATGGAACCTTTTTTTTTTTTTTTTTTTGCAACATTTCCAGGGCGTGCAGTGCACTGTGTTGTCAATAATGCCAAAGCCTGGAAAATACACTTTCTGCACAACAACGAGAGAGCAAAAGGATGCAACCCCAGAGTGTGTTGGTACAGTGTGTGTTTGCATGTTGAGTGTGTGTGTGTGTGTGTGCACGGGTGTGTTTTGGAAAAGACAGTGGTGCAGTGTAGAAGGGAGTAGCAGTGGGTGTGATTTATTCATGACGAAGAATAAGTGACTCACTCGATCTGAAGCCACTCTGTTGAGCTAAGGTGGGGGAGTGTGTGTGTGTGTGTGTGTGTGTGTGTGTGTGTGTGTGTGTGTGTGTGTGTGTGTGTGTGTGTATGTGTGCGTGTGTGAAGCTGCATCTGAAAATGACTTTCATTTTTAAGCCATGATCTGACATAAAGAGTCCTATTTTTATATTAAAAGGTCCCCACTTGAGGTTTTTTTTAAAATATATTTAAAAGCAAGTACTATCCCATTATAGCCTACTATTAAAGTAGAAAGAAGAATGACTTTATGGAAGTGTGAGTACTGTACTAGCATACACTGCACTATCCCGTATGAGCTGTATAATCTGTAACTAGCCAGTAAGAAAACTGCTGGAAACATCAGCATGAGTCTTTATGATTATTTTAAACATTATGTTGTCACAGATAAACATATGAGCATTGTTAGTCTGCAGAGAACTGTGAAAAAGGCACCTCTGAGGATGAAACCTCCTGCAGGAAAACAGACAAACAATGCAGCTACACCTGCAACAAAGTTCAATAAAGGTATGGACTTCACATAGGAATGTAGCCGGTCCAGACAGCACAAAAATCTGGTTTTACTCGTTGGCACTGCTCTTTCACAACAGCTAAAATTATGAGAGATGACCTTTGGTTCTGAAAAGTAAAACCGATGTGAAAGTGTCTTCAACCTGCATTCTTCCCAACAGCCAACAGGGGGCAACACCTCTGGTTGCAAAAAGAATTCTGATTGTATAGCAGTCTATGAGAAACTAATTCTACTTCTCACTTGATTTATCACCTCAGTAAAGATTTTCCAAATGAGTTTATGGTCTCAATTGCTGGTTTTGCATCTCTTTCAGCACAGCATGATGTTCATTTAATAAATGATGGTCCCATTTAGAGGAAAATACACAACAAAGCATGGTATGCTTAAGGGCCTAGCCACCTTATGGCTGACAAATTACTAAAATATGGGCATGTATAGTGTCCTTGAGTTTTTAGTTAGACCCACCCCTCACCCAAATCGCCGAGTTCACAATAACAACGGCCAAATTACAAACTCAAACCCTCAACAGAGTGGTTCACAAACCAGCAGGTCTTTAACACACATGCCATGGCTTTAAATTAAGATTTTTGGGTAATTTCAATTATTTTTTTAGTCTGGTAAATGTTTTGATTGCTACTGGAGAATCTAGCAAGTAAAAAGTCACATATTTCTCTCAGGAGTTAGCTGGAACCCAACCAGAGCTAAAAGTTGCTATCGGACCAAAGTAAACCACTATCTATGGACATGACATCAAACAAATGTTAATATTACTTCTATGTAAGCAGGTAACTGTTCTCTAACAGGATTGGTACATTAAGTCATACTGTATATCAATGTTGTTCACAGATTAATTTTGTTAACTAGCACTAAACAGCTCCTCTAGTATGTAGGGCCAGTCATCCACGAATCATACGGTTGGAGGTTCGATCCCAGCTGCTCCTGGTCCTTGTCTTAAAGTAGTTTATTGAGTGTGTTTGTAGTAAACCAAAGTATCATGGCAGACTTAAAGTCGGAGCATCAACAAAGTCAGTAGGCTTCACTGTCAATGGATGTTAAAATGTTTTATATGATAAGCCAAGGATAGATAAAAAGTTTGACTTGATGTTGAGAGAAAAAGTCAGAGCATTCCCAAAGGTTTAACTCCTGGGCACTATGGACATCTGCACCACATTTACTAGCAATTCATGCATTAGTAGTTGAGATATTTGAATAAATGTCAACAGTGTTA